TGCGTATGGTCTACGGCCGTAAGTTGTACAATAATACTGAAATAATTCAGCAAAAGAAGAGACAACTGGCCAGGTTAGGTCCTCCTGATGGATGCAAGCGCTCAAGCTTTAAAAGTATTCCACGCAGAGGAACACGAAGACCTCTACCCCTTTAGAAGGATCAGGTGGAAAGCGATCTGCGATGGTTTTCCTGACGGTACTTAAAAGTATTTATTTTCATTTGATATATGTATATTTGTATACTTACGGAGCATAGTATAAAAATACTCACATTTTAAGGACTTTAGTTTAATGATTTTTATTCGTTAACTTCCAGCTCGGTATATTTGAAGTGTTCGGAGAACACAATCAGGCTTTCCCTCCGCTACAACTCAGTAAATATTCACCTGTTATACCCACCAAATCAAGGAGCTTTCCACCAAAATTGACTGCATTTCAAGTACTTGAATAAGAATGTTTGAGGGAGCTTGAGTGTGTGTGTGTGGGCACTTCAAAAAGTTCTATTTGCCCATCTCGTTTCAAGATTTCAACTATTGCTAAAGGATATTTGCGGGGCGTATAAATTATTTCCATATGTACATACATACATTATTGCACATTCTCGTATGTATGTATATGTAGCTGTTGACATTGCCTTGCGTGCTTTACAAGTACGTACAAACGCACTGACCGTCTGCTACTGCTACTGCTACTACTACATAGACATTGCACACCCTGTCGCTGTGCTGTGCTGAAATGTTGCGTATACGCCACACCTTTAGGTATGCGTCCTCACACTGCTTGATTGCTCAGTTAGCTGGTCAGTTATTTTTTCATTTGCTGCGCGTTCTTATGTATATATATATATATATATATATACACATATGTATTTATACACGCATACTGAAGAATGCCTTAAATTCAATTTTCCGAATGCAAAACATAATTTCATTGCTTCGTTGCTCCATTACTGTACACGTGAATTCAATAACAAATTCACTTGACCGACCAACTAACCGGCAGGACTTTGGACAGCGTTTTCTGAACTTTGTAGTATGTGAATTATTTAGTTTTGGTTTTGTTTGCAGTATGTATTTATTGCTGTTGTGCCTTTTGTTTCCTCCCAGTTGTTGTTGTTGTTATCGTTGTTGTTGCTGCATATTATAAAATTTATTACTTTGTCTGCGGCATGCATGAGTTATGTTGAGCAAGTTTTGCTAGGCGGTATTTCTTCTTTGCAAAAATATCAACAACAATAACAAAAACAATTGCCTCTTTCCACGTATTGGCAGTGTTAAATGCTTCCTCTTTCCCATATTTTTATTTATGATTTTCATGTTCGAGTAATGTGTTATTGTTATTAATTTTCTACTTGTTTTATTTACTACCACTGTTGTCGGTATGCATGTAGTAGTTATTGTTGGTTGGACATCGTAAACGTCAAGAGTTCTTCCGGCACCGATGGGGGTAAAATTGAAATTAGTAAGATTTAATTATGGCTTTTGCAACTACTTTGTGTATGGCCTTAGATGTTCGTTGTTGCTGTTGCAGCGGCAGAAGTGTTGCAAAGCAATACATACAGACATACTTCCAAGCATTAAAGCAGCTTTATAAATATGAAAACGGTTGCAAGTATCCGTTTGGTGTTTTACACTTAAACTATAAATAATAAAGCCACGTCTAGACATGAAGATATCAGCGCACAATTAAAAGTTTTTACAAGCTCACTTCATCCTGTTGAGTGGATAATGAACTGCACAGGAATGTGGTTGAACACACTTTAGTCTCAGTTTAGATATTTTGCATAGTCCAAGGCTTGGATATTTAAATACAATAAAAATCAAAAAAAAAAAAATAATAATAATTAAAAATATTAGAAACATTTTACCGAATGTTTGTCTTGAGCTCCTAAATAGTTTGAGGCTTGTTGCAGTAAACCTTGCTTCTCTCAGATAACCCCACAAAAAGAAGTACGCGGGGGTTAAGTCAGGTGATCCGTAAAGTAGTGCCTTTTTGCATTATTATTGCGATATTTTTTCGGATATGCACGTTGAGTTAACACAATGGAACGACTGTTTTCGACGGAAAGTGTCACTATTCCTGCGCGTGGTCTCAGTGTAAGGCGATCCACGGCAAAATATGTACTGAATTGATATTTCCAACACATACCTGTTGCAATCGCTCGGTGGGTAGATGTGACAGTTATTCAGCGTTTACATACCGACATAAAAGATAGAGCGGCCCGCATATATATAAAAAATGGGCTTCACTATCTTTTGAAAGCTAAAATAGTTGTCAGATTCTAGAATATTCAGTTAGAAGCTACGTATTATTATACTATTTCAAACGACACAAGAATCTGCTATGTACTGACTGCGGCCCGATTTTACTTTAGATGTCTTAAGCGGACCCACACTCAATGTAGGAACAAAAAATCAATTTTTTTTTCGCAAAAAATGAGATCCACATATTTGTAGAGTATGTGTTTCAAGTGATCTTGCAAAACGATTAATATTTTCTCAAATGACAGCTTCTCAGACCCACCTGTCTCAAGCACGCTGCAAACTTTCTAAACACTTTGAACGCGTTTTTCTCGAAACCATGTTTCCGATCTAACCTAAGCCCAATTTATTTAATATAAAAACTGCTCCACAAAAATTGCCTAAAGGCGTTAAATCGTACGATCTAGGCGGCCAATTGAATGTTCACCAAATCGCCTCTCAATGAGGCCATTGTTACGCATGCTTTGTGACATGTGGCACCATCTTGTTGAAACCTCATGTCATGCAAGCCAAGTTCTTGCATTTTTTGTAAAAAAAAGTTTGATATCATCTCACCGTAGCGCTCACCATTCACAGTTACGTTACGATTCGCAACATCTTTGAAGAAGTACGGTCCAATGATGCCACCAGCCCTTAAAAAGCACCAAACTGTGACCTTTTCTGGATGCGTTGGTAGCTCTTGCAATGTTCCTGGCTGATCTTCTCTCTAAAATCGAAAGTTCTACTTATTTACGCATCCATTAACCAAAAATGAGTCTCGTCGCTGAACAAAATGTTCAGATAAAAAAACGCGCGATGAACTTTCTTCACATTGCATGCGTTTTCATAATAAAATGCAATAATTTGCAAGCTTTGTTCGTTTGTTAGACGATTCATTGTTTATTTATGGACCAAACTGAAACTGTTTGATGGCGATACAAAACACGAAACGCGTGTCAAAAAGATAATAGCTAAAAAATCACTCTATATATCATATAGTAGGAGGGACTTGTAGAGTCTGGTTTTTGTTCGCCGAAAGAGGACTTTACTTTTCAATTGCCTACTCAGTCCAAAGTAGAGTCTTTTGGCAAGAGTAATTCTGCATTGGATTTTAATGCTGACATTATTATTAGTGTTAGTCCGGGTTCGTAGACAGACGAAATTTTCTACGACCTCGAAGTTATGACTGTCAGGATTGACGTGGGAGCTAAACCGTAAATGAGGCGTCTGTTTGCTTGTTGACAGGAGATATTTCGTTTTGTTCTTTTCCATTATCAAACCCATTCGCTTCACTACATATGGTTGAAGCTAACGATTTTCGATCTTAGAGCTCTGTGTAGCAAACAAACCTTCATTTGGAGGTGGGCTAAATTGAGAAGGCTAGCTCCTCTGCGTGGGTGGTTTGGGACCTACGGCATGAAAAATAATCCAACGAAAACAAGCTACTTGAGACATAGAGTCTAATTAAGCTTTCTGACATAAATTCACAATCACTCTTTTTCGGGTAAAAAATGTTCGATTTCACACAGGTGCAGCTCTTCTTAAGATTAAGTTTAGAAAGATATTATTTTATTTCTACATTAGTTGCTATGAGATTTTTTGAGTTGAGATTTTTCGGTTTTCATATCCTAGTTATTCATTCTATGCATTTTAGCTTTATCTCTCCAACTACATATTCCTATGTGTACTGTTATGTATATATTTGTATCGAGCAATTGCTTTTGTGCTTTCACTGCACTCAAATATGTACTTAACCATTCAGAAGTGGAGGGAAATACCAATGAATACGAATTGCCACCACGGAAAATCAGTTACTAACAAATGTGTAAATACCAACGATCAATGGCAGCAGGCAAAACGAACTTACCAACTGCATACATACATACTCGTACATACGAATGCATGCCAAAGACACGCTCAGCAGCAGAACCATAACCAGAAGCTGAGAATTTCCATAGCGCAAACAAATTAACAGAGGCCTATTGCTGCAGGTGAACGAGACGGTGTAGTGCGGTGCGGTGCCTTGTTGTAGTAAAATTCCAATGCTGGGCTGCTCCAAATAAACGAACAGTTGCATACCCATTTGAGAGCTAACAAATTGCATTCGAATTCCAGACATAACAACATTTTCAGCATTGACCGAAAAAAGGTACTGAAACAGATGTGTACACATACACACACGTATATAAATATATACATTTATATACAAATATGTATATGTACAACAGGTATTTAGCACATGAACTCACCAAGTAACGCTTAAATATTTATCAGCTCAGTGATTGCTAGAGGTCGGCGACGCCGCTTAACACCACCGCAATTGTAGTCGCGCGTCGGGGAGGCGGTAATGCACATACTCGTACATGCAAACACGTGCGCTTGTATTATCATCGACAGGCATCGGCGGTAGCACATAATTACGCAAATGCTGTTGCAACCGCACAACAACGCCAAATGCCACACTCGGCAACGCGCTGCGCCGCATTGCTCAGTTTATGGCATTTCCCAACCGCAACTCTGAACAGCTAAAGCCGTGGCTACCCCTTCCTCATCGCCGCACTTCCCTCGGCCAACGTACAAATAAGTAAACGGTGAATACTGCGAAGCTCAAAGTGAATTTCGAATTAAATTCCGCTGCCCAATGAAGAAACACATTTTTCTACACGCACACATACGAATATACTGTAACACATTTGCTCACACGCATTCCTATATTTGACTACAACACACGAAATTACCAACACATCCAGTTACATCGATTAACTTTGCTATTCTTTCGCCAAACAATGCATTTATTTCAATGAAAATACCATCAGACCATCAGACCATCAGCAGTTGGCCTTCAATTGTCAGCATGCCACGCACGTATACAAACAAAAAGTCATCGGTTATGCGCACGTCGACGCCACCATTTGCGTTGCCACGGCTGTACCGTTATTTCATCTGTTGTTGTCGCCGGCGTTAACGCCTTTCGGGTGCTCCTGCCTACTGCTGTCACTGCGTCTACCCGCTGCCGATGCCGCCACTGCTGCTGCTTATATCGGTTTAGCCGTCGTCGCTGCCATCGCCTGCGCTGGACGTATGGTGGCTGTGGTTCGGTGACGAAGTAGAAATTACCGTGACTGCGGCGTTGCGAGTGTATGCCAAAGCGTCCGCGGTGGCCCTGGGCACAAAGGCCAAGCACGAAATTATCATAACTGTTGCAGTGGTTGCCCACGAACGGAAATGCCGGATTCATGGATTGCTTGAAAAACACAGCCGATGAGCTGTGGCTGCATGCTACCGCATCTGTGGGATGCGAAGGAGATGGAAGAAAGAAATGAATTTTTAAGTAGATTGTTAACACATTCGTTGGCGTTGCATGTAGCATTTAAATTACAATTCATACGTCTGACTTGCCGCGTTTATTTGGGCACACAAGTGCATACGCACATGTATAAAACTTACTATTCTGTACATCCGAAACGAGCACTTTGCAATGACGCTGCGGCGCCTTCCCACCATTCGGATAGAAATCTGCATGTCCCATTTTAACGCTCGCACCCAATGTGCCGGCCGAAGTGTGCATCACTTGCACGAATTGTGCGTCTGTGGGATCCAGTCGAAAGTCTGGTGATACAACAGCGGGCAATGTGAAAAGCGGTCCCGCAGGATCAAGCCCAATAATTTGGTCAACCTCACCATTAAGCATGGCGCCTGCATAACCAGCCGCATGTGCACCTAAGCTATAACCCGCCAATGTAACATTGCGGCGTGAGAAATATTCCGGACGTAACTGCTCCATAGACATAATAATACCCGCCACCGTTAAGCCCACATCAAATATCGACATAGACGCTGTCTTGTAGTCGACTTGTGATAGGTGGCCCCAATCAACGACACATACGCTGTAATTTGGGTCAAAGTGAGTCCAAGCTGTGTGGCGGCAATAGAAAAGTTTAAAACTTCTTTTCGAATTCATTTAATTAATAATATTTAATTACCTTTTAACATATCTTGCACCCACTCCTTACTGCCTTCATCGTTCCAACCATGAAGAAAGAGTGCCAATTTTCGACGTGGATCCAAGCGACGAAAACCGCGCATATCTCCCAACTGTAATTCGAAATGGTACTCATCCCCCAGTCGCATATTCGAGCTGTAAGAGAAATAATAATACTTAAAAATAGTATAACGAGAACATTTATATACTCATACTCCTACACATGTCCATTAAAGTAAGAGTATGAGTACATAGATGTTGAAGATAAAAAAAAATTAAAACCAAACAATAGGTCAGAAACCAAACAAAGCCGGTTAAGTTTTAGTTATCAGCACGACTTACGAGAAGATGAAATATACGACATTTTTGCGCTAGAATTTCAAAATCATTTAATTATTTAGAAAAAAATTGAAAACGACAGAATTTTCACACAAGAATATCCGCTGGTCTGTGGCTACATTTGAACCAGAAACTGATCTCCTCAAAAAAATCATATTTATGGTGGGCTGTCTTTATGGTCCGATTTACTTAAAATTAGGTACCTATGTGAAATATTTCGTTAATCGACAATGAATAAAAAAAGTTATGCTCGAAAGAAAAATGGTATTTTTCCAAAAAATATGACTTATTTATAAGAAGTTTGAAGTCTTATATTTTTTTAACGATAAAAAAGCAAAAAAAGCTAAAGGCGAATAAATTGTACTAATATTCTGGTACAATGTAAAAAGAACGTAAGAATTTAATTGGCAAATGACATTTCTACACACAGTACAGCCATCAATTAAGCATTTTTCAAACACAAAAAGAAATCAAGCGAGATGGCTCAACTTAGAATGATCATATCTCAGGAATGCGTTGTTCGATTTCATTACAAGAGCAAAATGGTAAAAATTGTTCTTTTTGCCCCTTCAATCTTTTTTCTAATGCACATGTTTCAAGCTGCCATTGTGCGACAATCGCAAAGAACGCGGGCGGGACACGTTCACTGCACCATCATGCATGTTTCTCGCGTATTGAAAGGTGTCGATTTTGCGAATTATTTCAAAAATTAGAGCTCAAGGTACAATTAAATTTTTGATACCAAACAAAAGACAATAAAATCCTCCTTCAAAAACTGACAACTGAAATTTGGCGAAAAAAGTAGAGTTTTATTGTAATATTCTCTGAAAATTGCATGCAAAGAAACGATCTTTCTTTGATTTTTTTTTTTAATTTTCCGAAGTTATTTTTTTTTTAACTGCGCAAATCTTGCGAATATTGCAATGGAGCCTTCGTGTTCAGGTAATATGGTAAAATCGTGTTTTAGTGTCTCTAAATATTTTAATTTTTTTTTGCGACCTTAAATGCAGTCATATAGTTTTGAGTTCAACGGAGTAAATCAAACCTTATTTCATTTCTATAATCTATGGCTATGGCAGCTTCTTTTTAAACAAAAAAAGTCAAAAAAGCCAATATTGACCACTTTCTAGTAGCATACGCTGGTATGCCGGTGCAACCCTTTTGAATGGCCTCCACGTCTGCATAACGCTTTTCTTTCATCGGCGAATACATTTTTCCGAAATAGTAAAAGTCTCCCGGTGCCATATCAGGTGTATACGGGGAGCGGTTGATTATTAAAATATGATTTTTGGTCAAATAATCGGCCACAAGCGTCGACCGATGAGACGGCGCATTATCGTGCAGCAAACGCCAACTTCCATCTTTGCGATATTCGGGCCGAACACATCGAATACGGCGCACCAAAGGCTTCAAAACTTCAAGTTAGAATACCGCATTAATTTTTTGGCCGGGTGGAACAAAATGTTTGTGAACAATGCCCTTGGAATCATATAAACCAATCAGCATTGCCTTCACTTTTGACTTCTCCAGGCGCGAATTTTTTGGTTTCGGCTCGTCCGGCGCCTTCCATTCAATTACCAGTCACAATCTTGTAAAGGAAGTTCCGGTCTTTTCTTGCGTCTTTAATGATGTCCGTAAAATTTTGTTTTCTAAGCAATTTTTAGTTGGCTCTTTGTTCGAAGCTCATTTTCGTACCGATGACAAAAACATACTGACACTTAAAACGCAATAACTTCACTCCCAATATATGAAATGTCATGATATTTTTACTGGAAGTCGATAAAAGATAGCAGATTCTGATGCACTTGTCGACATGTAGATGGCGCCACTAGAGGGCTTTAGATTCAAAAAGTCCTGTTTACTTTGCAACGCACCTCGTATGCATTTCTTCACGGGAACTGCCTGGTCCAATATATACACGAATTTTTCAAGGCAGAACAAGAAAAAATACAGCCATAGCAAAATAAACGAAAGAGTTCATATAGAAATACAAAGTCCCTTTTATTCTGTTCTACCTTATAGAAATAAATACTTGTAAGTTAAACACAATTTAATTATGTCTATGGTTGATGGAAAAGTATGCAACGCATTAACATAAATGACATCGACACAAAAATGTTATTTATGTGGAGCTAACTCGAAACATTTTAATAAAATTTATTCAGTAGTAAAGAAAAATGTAAAAATAGAAAATTTACAATTTGTTCTTTCGATACCTCACGCGTGGTTTAAGTTCTTTGAATGTCTGCTCCACTTATCGTGGAAATATTGCATAAAAATGTGGCAAGCTCGAACAATGAGCGAGAAAGTTTTTGTTCTGAAGAAAAGCACGCATTCAGAAAGAATTAATATATAAAATTTGTGTGAAACTTGGCTTAGGGAATTCTTACAACGGCTTCCAGGTGTTTCTTTCAGAACCCCGAGATATCAACAGCAATTACTAAAGTTGATATAAACTTGTTTAAAAGTTGAAAACCGTACTCGCAGTTGTTTTAAGTGGGCACGATATTGACGTACAGAAGTCTCGTGACTACGCTTTAAATGCAGGAAAATATTTTATTAAATGTTATCCTCCAATTAAATAAATATTTCACGAATATTTCATCATTTACAAGAGATAATATCCTACTCCTTGTTACCAATGGGACAATTATCAGAAGTTCAGCATGATCGAGGCAAAAATTTTCAAATTTTTAGAGTCGATTTTTCTCGCAAATGCAACAGGAAAAAGCAAAGGAAGACATATTCAACAGACTTTTAATCAGTTCCGAACCCGTTACATCTACCAGAAGAAAATTACCATAAAAATGTGTAGGATTTACCGAAAGGAGCCTTAGAGATGATCGTGATGAAGAGTGGCAATAATAATGAATTTATGCTGATGATTATGAAAGCGATGATGACAATTCATGCAAAAAACAGTTTATATATTGTATTTTGAATAAAATTTGTATCTTATTAAATAAATAAAAATTGTTGAAAACCGCAGTTCGCCATATTCATTTTTTATGATTTAAAAAAAAAAAATTATTAAAATAACTCTAATTGCATTATTTTTTACTTCGTTACTATTTTGAACACCATCTACCCCACTGAGCGGCATTTGAGGGGGAGCTGAATAATGCCAGATTTGTGGGGGCAAGCAATTCTTTCTCAGATCGAATAAATATTCAAAAGGATTTGGGAGCGCTTTTAATTTATACTCATAACTTGCTACAACATATGCTTCTTGCTTAACCGTTAAAGCCCAATTTACGTAATTTTGACGAACAGTATAACAGTATAACGTTCGTATCACCGCGAACCTCCGAGCGAACTTAGTCGTCGCCAAGACCTACGCTTGTGTTTTGTGCAGCTTTTGCAATTGTTTTAATATTATTTTTGTTGTTGTCGTTAAGTTATTCTACATTTTCAGTAAAGCAGCTGGAAGTTTGCTTAATTTTCGATATAATCTAACAATATGAGGAACAATGGTGTCAAATAAGAGAGAAATTCCGGAAGAAGTTAAGAACTCCCATTGTCAACGATGCTGATTTTTTCGAACAAAGTATTCCGTAAGTGGAACACTTATAGGTAGTCAATGGCGTTGTTTTATGGTATGCTGAACATGACTTTTGTAAATTCATATATAATTTATTATCACAAGGTGGCCAAAAAAACACCCCTAAGCCGCGAAGATTTTATGAAGAAATTATGATTTTATGAAGATGTGACTGGAGGTATCAGTTTTGACGAGGACCTTACGTGACAACAGTCATATACAAACGCATTGAAAACCACAGACATCAAGGGTGATTTCCCGGGTTGAGGTAGCGCCAAAGAAATGACGTCACCCTGCGTTTGGCTCCTATAAAAAGAAAAAGATGACCAAGACATAGTGCTCTGAATGGAAAAAAGCCCTATGAGGAGATCATAATATTAATATTTGTCTAAACTGTGTATAAGTTCAGTTAAAAACAAAATCGATAACATATATATTTTTGTCTCATTAGACTACATTTTTAAAAAGTACTTCCAAAATATAATATTTCTAAAAGGCGTTGAACAGATATAATGATTTGATTATTATACGTAATTTTTACATACAATTGGACTTTCTGGTCACAAAAATGTGATTGGACTTCACGGGTTTAATAATTTCAAAACAAATTCGAAATTTTGGGTCGAAATCGGATTTGAAATGGAGAGAAAACCATTATGATATAAGAGAATTTGAGAAAAATAATCAGCTCTGGTTGGAAAGCGAACTTATTTTGACCAAACATTTGACAAACATGAAATACAAAAAAAATATAAAATATCTGACTTGGAAAAAGAAACATCACACGAGGGGCTCATGTCTGCGGCTAGCAATGGCACTACTGTGGACAAAAAGTAAGGTGAAGTTTTAATTTAAGCTTCGTGCCTTTAATATTTCGGTTTCATTTTTCTTTTTTTATTGTTGGTAGTACTGTTATTGACATTTACGCCAAATTTCAAGTCAATGTCAACATTTATATTTTAGTTAGGTTTATGTTTACTAAACGACTAAAGGTGTCTTCGGCGATTTTTATCATGTCTGATTTAAATAGTAAAAGATGTGCGATTTTGTTGGCGGTGCGAATTTTCGGCTGCTAAAACGTTGAAGATGCTACAGAAAGCCTTTGTGGACTCAACTATGTCGCGAAAAAGCGTGTATAAGTGGTTCAAAGAATTCAAAGAATATCATGCTAAAGGAGAGGCAAAAATGTGACTTCTAGCTCTTCCAAAAACTTAAGAGACCACTTCGAGGATACCGTTTTGAGTGGATTGAGGAAATTAAACGTTATTCGGCGCGCTCTCTGAAGGCCATAACAGAACGTTACTGATTGACATGCTTCGATAATTGGAAAAAGCGTTGGCATAAGTGCATTGCATCAGCAGGGGACTATTTTGAAGGTGACGAAGTCGATGTAGAAGAATAAGGCTGGTAAAAGAAATGCATCTATTGTGGTATCTGCGCTGATACTTGATGAACAACTAACGATATGAAACCAATTAGTATGGCAGATGAAGCCTTAGTTTTATATACTGGTGGTGGTTCACCAAAAGGGTTAAAATGGACTTCGTGAGTGGTGCTAAACAAAGAAGCAAAAACATATTTTCCTCTTATGATGTTCTTCGGCTTGCCACGAAACTGTACTTCAATGAGCTACAAGTTAACGATCATTCATTTGAGGAAGCTTTGCTATTCTTGGTTGAACAAGAATTGTTTTAATGCATAGGCAAGAGCTTCTAATTTTGGAAAATAATAGTATTGCAGAGATAATTGCTATATACAAATGAGGTTGTGATGGAAGTAATGGTTACTTAACTTATTGGCAAAATTTCGATGATATTGAAATAGACAAACATATGCTTGCAGTGAGCTTGGTACCTTAACAAATAGTTTCCGGATCTATTATACCTTGGGGAATTTCGCAATCTTCAGCCACTCGTTATTGCAGGCCGTTGAAAGTACTTTGTCAATAGTAAACGGCAGACCTGGTTCGTGCTGAAGTGAATAAAGTCAAAAACCAAATTGTCCAATTACAGCCGACTAGACTAAAAAGCCGCGCAGTTCATCATCAGATTCAAATGACCGCGATGGATGGGAAGATATATGGTGTTGTCGTCGAATTATGCTCACAAAAATATGTGGAATTTGTTTTATGTCGCCTAAAAATATGAATGATTTGAATATTATTTAAAATTTACCCTGCGAAGAGAGTTTATTTGAATGTGAGTTAGCAACTCTGCACGCAAGTCCGCAACTCGAATAAGGCAATAGTGATTGAAAAGAAGACTGAAATGCAAAAACAAGTTAAGGAAAGAAATGTCTATATTGGTTACAATCTCTATGCCGGATCAGGTACAACAAATATTGAAAATACAGATAGTCAATTTTTCCAACAATCTGAATTAGCCGCTCAAAAAACAGCGGTAAACAATACACTAATTCATCCCTTTGGTGATATTTGACGTACAATTGCTTCTTACTATTAAATAAATTCAGTTGCCTTTCACCATTATGCATACCCAACAGCAGTTATATTTGTGGTCATAGATAAAAAAAATTATTGGGTGGCCCAAAAAGTAATTGCGGATTTTTCATATAGTCGGCGTTGACAAATTTTTTCAACGGCTTGTGACTCTGTCAGTTATCAGCTCTTACTTTTAGCTTGCTTTAGAAAAAAAGTGTGCGAAATTTTGTTAACATTTGTTTGTTTGGCGTCAATTTTAATATGGAGCCCACAAAGGAGCATTTTCGTTATATTTTACTTTATTATTTCCGTAAAGGAAAAAACGCAGAGCAGGTTGCTAAAAAGTTACGAGATGTGTATGGTGATGAAGCCTTAAAAGGAAGACAGCGTCAAAATTGGTTTCGCAAATTCCGTTCTGGAGATTTTTCACTTAAAGATGAGCCACGTTCAGGTCGGCCAAATGAAGTTGATGATGACCAAATCAAAGCATTAACCGAGTTGGATCGTCATGTAACTAAGCGTGAGATAGGAGAGAAGTTAAATATGCCAAAATCAACCATTCATTATCATATAGAAAGTCTTGGACTGGTGAAAAAGCTTGATATTTGGGTACCACATGTATTGAAAGAAATTCATTTAACACACCGAATCAACGCTTGTTATATGCACCTTAAACGCAATGAACTCGATCCGTTTTCAATACGAATCATAACTGGAGATGAAAAATAGATTATTTACAACAACGTAAATCGAGAACGATCATGGTCCAAGCATGGTGAACCAGCTCAAACCACTTCAAAGGCTGATATCCACCAAAAGAAGGTTATGCTGTCTGTTTGGTGGGATTGGAAGGGTGTCGTATATTTTGAGCTGCTTCCAAGGAACCAAACGATTAATTCGGATGTTTACTGTCAACAATTGGACAAATTGAATACAGCCATCAAGGAGAAGCGACCAGAATTGGTCAATCGTAAAGGTGTCATATTCCACCAGGACAACGCTAGACCGCACACATCTTTGGTCACTCGCCAAAAACTGAGTGAGCTTGGCTGGGAACTTTTGATGCATCCACCATATAGCCCTGACCTTGCACCATCAGACTACCATTTATTTCGATCTTTGCAGAACTCCTTAAATGGTAAAACTTTCGGCAATGATGAGGCTATAAAATCGCACTTGGTTCAGTTTTTTGCAGATAAAGGCCAGAAGTTCTATGAGCGTGGAATACTAAATTTGCCAGGAAGATGGCAAAAGGTTATCGAACAAAATGGCAATTATATATTTGATTAAAGTTCATTCTAAGTTTTATTAAAAATGCATTTACTTTCTTTTAAAAAATCCGCAATTACTTTTTGGGCAACCCAATATATGTCAGATGATAGTGCATCAAACACTAAATTACTCCCATTTAAAAAAATATATATATAATATATTACATTTTTTAGCATATAATATTAGCTTTTATACACTTTTATTTCTTATTTTTTTATCTGCAAGCGATAATTAGTACAACAAAATTCGGTAAGTTTTTATGGGAGTTATTAATAAATACGTGCCCACTGTGCGCTGAAGCGATTTTCCGCCGAGCTCCTCCTCCAGTTTGTGATATTTGCATCTTGATGTTATACCAACAAATGGAGGGACCTAAAGTTTATACTAAACCGCCTCCAACGATAGTTTTTTATTAGGAGCTCTTATTTCAAGTCAAAAATTCATTCAGAAGGATTGACATTCTCTGCGGCAACCGTGGCCGCCGCTTTAACGCTAAGTAAAAATATTTGTTTTTTAATTGAAGACAATGTCATAAATCTGAACCTGAATATGAATTCGGAACTAATATGCAATCTTAAGTACGAGAGAGTATATCCGAGCGATAATAATTTTTATATCTCTTCAGTTCTTGATCAAAAAAAATATTATATTTTTTCGCCATTCAATAAATACACAGACACTGAGTAAAAGAAAGCAAATTTATTTGTTTACAAAAAACGATTTTATGTAAAATTAAGCAGTTATCAAAGGTCAAAAAATTCCCCAAACTTATCAAGTTTCTTTTCTTCGTTTGTTTCCGCCTTAAACTCTTCGTACCACTGCAATAATTTGGCTGACTTTAATTTTTCATCCGCAGTTAGACCTTTGAAATATTCTCCAAAATCAGTTTCGAATTTCTCAGCTAAGTTCACGACCTTCTGCTGAAATTCGTTGTCGAATTGATTGTAGCCATTATTTTCTAGAGCTGCCTTCAATGTGAGCTTGAGTTTGGAATTCTCCGGCATACTGTCATAGTCAGACATCATATCGGCGAAAGTAATCATATTTTCGAATAATTTCAAAATGCTTTCTTCATCGTCTTGAAATGTAAACTGTGCAGCCTCCGTAGCTACCCTTGACATGCGTGTGATGTTGGCTTGCAATAATTCATCTTTATCTGGTATTGCCTTTAGTTCAGTTACGGCATTATTTACCACCACGCTACCACGCTCAAGCACCCACTTTGCAAATTTACCTATTTCACCAATAGTATAAAGAATAAGTGGTATGTGTGTATTGTCTTCTTCAATGGATGTCTTGCCGGAGAGCTGAGGATTGTCCTGTGCTTTGGCATCAGCAGCGATGGCTTCACGTTTTATAACAGGTAAAGCATTGGCCAACTATGAAATTCAATATATACGGAATTAAAATGCAAATATTATTTAGGTTCAAAGCATCCTTACTTGCACTAGAAGCAAACAGCTTATAGCAATAGCAGCTAATTTCTGCATTTTTACCTTCAATTCAAAATCTTTAATTTAGATAAAGTACTGTCTCCGGAAAGTTAAGCCACACTGAATTGCAACCAATAATTAAATCTTGTTTTATATACATTTATTAGAGTGTTTCGATTAATACGTATGCATGCGTGTGTGTGTGTATGATCTCTTGTATAAAATGTACATATGTACAGTAAATGAATTAATAAGATTCTCTCCCGTGCCTAATGACATCTAAATGCCAAATATTGGCAAAAAGTTGTATTATGAATAAAAATATTTTTTTTTTAGTTGATTACTAATACACGTTGTTTTTAAATGAAATGTATTTGCATTATTATGCATTGATGAGTTGCAACAATTATAAATTTAAATTTTTATCAGGGCTGTTCAGTAGCAGAAATTAAAATGCAGGGAATACTAACAGAAAATGAGCTGGAGTGTTAGAGATGATGCGATTTTTAATCATTTAATTCAGAACTCGTTAGACAAAAAACAATTCTATAATGTATTAACAACAAATACAAGAATCAAATTAACAATTTGCCGCTATAAAAAAAATCTCCCCCTAATGTGCATAGGCGGTTCTTGAACAATCAGTGTTCAATGATATGCGCATTTAGAATGAATTTACTCGTTTTAAAATTTAAGAAAATTATAATTTTTTATTAATTAAAAATAATTCATTTCCTCCATTCATCTTGAACTCATATTTTGCACCATTTAAGCGTGCAAATAGCTGATAAACATGATAATCTTGTTATAATTATCACGTGAGGAATAAATTTTAATTTTTGCATGGTAAATTCATTGTCAAGTTTATCCGTCGATTTTATAGCGCAAAAAATGTGATATATTTGTGCTTTAATGCTTGCCAAAAGTGAGAAGACGATAATGGGTTTCCGTAGAATCTGGGACCTGTCACATGAGAAAACAAACTCAAATGAAAAACTAAAATACGCCTAGAATGAGGGATCCCTCTTTTGACGACGACCACTCTAAGCATTTTAAATATTACAAATTGAGGGCATCTCCTTGAAATGTCCGATATCTGGGCCGCTGCTCAGCCGGTTGATGTCCTCCTTACATGATTGGTAGACATCACCACCGTCCATGAAGTGCAAAGGGTTGTACAAGTACGGAAACGAGTAGATCCTTGTGACATTCACTTCAGCGGCCATATAAAGGAGTGCCAATTTGGTGTGGGATTCGTGGTGAGAGAAACTGCATCACTCAGTACTGGAATTTACTCCAGCGGATGAACGTCTCGCCGCAACACTCATCAATACGAAATTCCGACAGAAGAGTAGGATAATGAGAATGGGGATACTTGTTATAAGCGACTAGAGCATACCCTTGATCGTTGCCCCCATCTCAATGTGAATACCATGCTTGGCGAACCTAACACCAAGTTGAGCAAAGAAGTTATCTTTGGCGCAACTGTCAAAAAATTCAGTCTCTCGACGAAATATTTCCAAACGGATCGAGGCTAAACGATTTCAACGGGTGCCGAAATATAATTGCCTGTAATACTAGATTTTACTACAGAAAGTTCATATTATACTTAGCTGTCTGCAGATCAAACAAGTTTAGATGAAGGAAAATGTCATCATTGATTCGGACCACAAGGACAATATCAAACAATGTTTGAAGTCAAAAAGCTGCCATCATAACAGCCGAACTGTTTTCTACTCGAATTGTTGTGAGTGGAATAGAAATCGAGAACTTAATAGGGAAGCATTCCATTCAAATTCTATTATTGGACCGAAAATCTTTGGAAAATCCAAGCAGACAGAAAGTATTATAAAAATTTGTGTGTGTGACATTTGCGAGAGAAATAAGAGAAGTTGAAGACTTTTAATTTGTTTTGTTAAATCTATAATTACCAAATTCTTTGCAATTACTTTATTAGTCCTTCTCTCCAATTTTGAAACATTTGCTAAAATGGAGACGAGAAAACGGAAGATAACTGAGGGTAGGTCAGACAAAATCCCACCACCAACGCGAACAGAAATTCGCTCTTTGATTCTCCTCAGGTTTCGGCGTAATTTACAGTCAACACAAATATTGAATTATTGATTTCTAAGTGGTTCCGAAGATTTCAGACCGGACATTTTTCCGTAGGAGACGAGCCACGAGAAGGTCGACAAAAATTTTCCCCTGAAGACGTCACTGTAGGTTAAGTCCAAATTTAACGAAAACACATGACTAACACAAGAAATTATTGCTAATGAGTTGAGCTTGAATGTAGTGGCTGTATAATATTAAGTAATAATCTGGGACACATGAAGAAATTTGCTCGATGAGTACCACGAATTTTAAATGAGGCCCTTAAAAGAGGCTCGGGTGTATTTTGATCAAGTTTTCCTAAACAAATTCGAAAATGGACACGAACGTAGTGTCCGTATAAATATCTGGGTTCGAACAAAATACGTCCAGCACCATATTTCCCGGATATAGCACTCTGTGATTTCTGGTTATTTCCAAAACTTAAAAGTGATTTAAAAAGAAAGGTTCTTAATAGCAGCTAGGAGATTATTAATACGGTTAATGCAGAGCTTGATGAGCTTAAGCAGCAATATTTTGAAGAATGTTTACTGAAGTGGATCTATGCGCTTAGGAAATGCATTGAAATCAATGATGATTATTTTGAGAAGATGTCAAAGGTCAAATATTACGAATAAATATAAGCATAATATTTTTTTCCGGTCAACTTACCTAACTTCTCTTAATCGCCTCGGACATTAAAATTTTTTATTAATTAAAGAAATTTAATTAACACGGAAATAGAACGAAATGTAAAAATTATGCTTCTGTATATATATGTTATTAAGTTAAAAAATATTAAAAAAAAACATTTATTTTGTCGATTTGTGTTTATTGTTTTTTAGGGCTTTCAGCTTTTTTGATTAGATTTTCCATCTAATTTCCTTCTTTAGAAATAAGGAAGGCAAGGATTTGTAAAGATTCTAATTCATATGGTAACTCAAAATCAATTAACAAAATTTTACGAAATTTATTCTCGAAGGTTTGTATGGCGAATTCAAGTAAATTATGGAGGCCCAACGAGAGGGGGGATCGGGGACTTTTCCCCCCGGGTCCGTAGATTGCAAGGGGGCCCGGTGTTTTCATTGTCGTATATAGAATAATTTGCTTCTAGAATATCTATGACGTAACTGACTGCAGATTTTCATGGATTGCGATACTAATTCTGCGCGTCTGAAAAAACTCAGTAATTTTGTTACTTCACATATGATGTATGTGACGCATGTTCTTATCTTACAGTCATTGCAGTAAGATTTAGTTTTGTATGAGAAAGATCAATTTTTCAGGCTATAATCTGTGAAAAGTCTTATATAGAGCTATAACTTGTGGAACAAAATGAAGTTAATTGTCTGTCTAAAATAACTTCACTTTTGTAAATTGAAAAATACTCTCACTTAGTAATGCAATTGAGAAAAGAGGAAAGGCGATAACTCCGAGCCAATATGATATTATTATATTAATATAATATAACATATCTCAGGACTGGCAACGTTATGTTTGGAGTCTCAATTAGCTAGAAAACTTGACTTCGGTATTATCATTGAGGAATTTTCATCAGCTAAAGCAAGGAAGGCATATTTTTGAGGGTTGCTACCTATTAAAATACTATTGTGATGCAAACTAAGGTAATAAAAATGTCTTAGCTGTGTTTCCATATCGAAATTATCCCAAAGAGTTGTAAGCATAACCAAGCAATGTGTTAACTAAGTTTAATCAAGAAATCGAGGAACAGATGGATAAACAAACAATAATAGCTAAATATACTTACATACATACATATGTGTTTGCTATGTTAACTTTCATATGCTCGTTTATCTCAATGAGAATATGTTTTTTGGTGTTAACGCATAGCTCAAAAACGGTTACATTGAATTCAAACAAAGTTATGCAAATTATTCAGGATATCATGGACATGTTTCATGAGCAGTGTGTTCGATTTCTGAAAAGATGGCGTGGCATTTTCTATACTAACTAAAATATAAAAATTGGTGATCGGTGGATTTGACGCTGTGCATATTGAGAACAGCTACATAAAGCTCAATCAAATTTATACAACATATTTAGAATATCATCCAAATAGTATATGTATTACTGCGCTTATGCTTTATTTCTACTAAGGTTTATTTACCTCGAGTTAAGCCTACAAGCATTAATACCAAATGTTCTACTCGAGGTGAATTCAGAATGCAGTTAATAAAGTTAGCGAAACAGGAACTCCGTATAAACCGGGTTAAATGCAAATCACATGATATAAAATAAGTCTGCATCTATGCTAACGAGTTAACACTTGTACATATGTAGAGAAAATGTGTATAGATTATACGAGTAGACGCCTTAACTCGTGTGATTATGCTTGTGAGTATAATACGTAAATCCCTAAACGTATTGGGTTGCCCAGAAAGTAATTGCAGATTTTTTAAAAGAAAGTAAATGCATTTTTAATAAAACTTAGAATGAACTTTAATCAAATATATAATTGCCATTTTTTTCGATAATCTTTTGCCATCTTCCTGGCAAATTTAGTATTCCACGCTCATAGAACTTCTGGCCTTTATCTGCAAAAAACTGAACCAAGTGCGATTTTATAGCCTCATCATTGCCGAAAGTTTTACCATTTAAGGAGTTCTGCAAAGATCGAAATAAATGGTAGTCTGATGGTGCAAGGTCAGGGCTATATGGTGGATGCATCAAAAGTTCCCAGCCAAGCTCACTCAGTTTTTGGCGAGTGACCAAAGATGTGTGCGGTCTAGCGTTGTCCTGGTGGAATATGACACCTTTACGATTGACCAATTCTGGTCGCTTCTCCTTGATGGCTGTATTCAATTTGTCCAATTGTTGACAGTAAACATCCGAATTAATCGTTTGGTTCCTTGGAAGCAGCTCAAAATATACGACACCCTTCCAATCCCACCAAACAGACAGCATAACCTTCTTTTGGTGGATATCAGCCTTTGAAGTGGTTTGAGCTGGTTCACCATGCTTGGACCATGATCGTTTTCGACTAACGTTGTTGTAAACA